CTTTTCTCACAGAATAATAACTCGAACTAAAAAAACTTTTTAGCCACAAAGCTAAGTACATCACATAAATTATTTGAACTTAGACTGTATCTTACAGAAAGGGATATATATTATTTATCTTCCTTGATATCTATCATTATACAGGATAAGTTGCTCAGATCTTAATGTCAAATTTTGTTCAAAATCATTTATCATATTTCTGATACAGAATTTATAACAATACATGCCAAATTTATATCTTTGGTTAACAGAGAACGTCAACAATCGTATAAAATGAGTGGAGTTGATCGCTTGAGGTCTCTTTTATCATTGTGTTCTGCATGTTCGTTTTTCTGACATGCCATTTATCACAGTCAATATTGCATGCAGAATTTAATGGTAAATGCGCAATATAGATACATTATTTGAAATGCCCACGTCATTATGTGATTGTATATATGTATATTAGTGTTCATTTCTCCAAATCCTCATTATTAAACTATTACAGTTTCCTTTATGGTTATCAATTTGTTTATGGTATTTCTGTTTATTTAAGAATTAGCAATGGTAAATTTAACCTAAATAACAGGGTAAAATTACTTGATAGAGTATGTATAAAATCACTGTATTCAATAAATATTTTTTCTCAAATATTTGATCATTTTTTCTGATCATCATTAACATCTTTAAAATCTCACTAATATCAGTACTATCTTCCTTAAACGTTTCTATAACATTGTGCTCATCGTCCTTATATTATTTTCATCATCATCATCCCTTTGTAGACCTATACGTGAATATGGAATCCTGGCATGGTACCCTTTTCAAATTAATCACATTAACTCTCTTGAAAAAGTTCAACGCAAGTTTATGCAGGCTTGTTTTAATTATGATCCTACTTTTAATTATGCTGAACGTTTATCCCTCCTCCAGATTCCACTTATTACTGACCGTTACAAATACCTCCTTTCTTTTGTATTGTCTTGCTTCCATAGAAAATATGATATTGAACCAAATCTTCTTCCTGTTGTTAATAACCGTCATCTGTCTGATTTTAGATTTAAGATCCAATTTGCTAGAACCAATTGTTTTAAATTTACTGTTTTTAATTATTTTCCTTATTTATGGAACGACCTACCTCCAAATATTAGAGAATGTGCAATTACAAAATTTAAATATGTAATTAAGCAATATTTTTTTAATTAAATCATTTTAAATTAATTAAATTATATTTTTACCTTAACGAAATTGTAATTCTCTTTGTAATATTAACTATTATTAACTTTTTATATTGTACATATATGAATTGTGAATTTTTCAGATTTTAATGTTTGTCTTTTTAATGTTTTGGAGAGCCTTTAGATAGTGATTAAGTTCGCTTTTAGGTAATCCTCAGGCTTTTTTTTTGTCATTTGTTTCTCTTATCTATTGTACTGTATTGTCTTGCCTGGAAATAAATAAAATAAAATAAAATCACAGGCATATCAATATCTCCAAAATTAAAAATGAGAATTAACATTTGTGATCACCTCTCTTATCCACTCTATAACATAAGGTAGACAGATCTCCCGTAACCTTAAGTTTATATAAAATTCAATTGATATACTCCCGGCCTCTGGAAGACCAGGTAACCTGTTTATTGTTTGGTCATTCTTTTTAGATCTGAGCAGCAAAGGGAAAACTCCTGGTAGCAATGTTATTGATGTACGCTTACAAACACGAAAGCCTCCAATTACTAGCTAACAAATTTAAGTTGAATCTCTGAAGGAGAGTGCATGCATAACATGGCCATCTTTTAGAGGAACTCCCCATATAGTTGGGACCCAAAAGCAGCTGTTAACATTGAAAAAGACCTGAAATTGACAGCAGCATTAAAATCACTGATAAATATTCTATCCATTATCAATGTGAATAATGAGTTACCTATATTGAGCATTTAATAAGGGGAAGAAGGGTACAAAGAGGTATGTTCTACATAGGGGAATTAATGGCCAAAAAAATGAGTACAGAAAAGCTCATCCAAAAGATGGCCTGCAGCTATGCATCTCCTTTGGCCCAATACTAAATTTAGGCATATGGCCTAATTAGGATCATTAACACTAGCATATTTGTTATTGTTATTTATTATTTGGTATTTATATAGCACCTTTCCTTTAAGTTACAAAGTGCCTTGTATTTCCCTGGTCATTGGGTTAACATGCTTAAGTGTTGCTGCCATATTGGGGCAGTAGCAGGCAACCTGACCAGGTACCCATTTATACTCCTTGGTGGAAAAGAGCAATGCGGATAAAGTGCCTTGCTCAATAACGCAAGCGAAATGCACAGTGAAGGATTAAAACCCTGACCTCAAGGTTGGGAAACCAAACAGTTCTTGCTGCGCCAAACCACTTCCACATATCCTCATGATCAGAGAAGAGGGATGAAATTTTAAGTTTTATCGGCTTCTTCAATTTAATGTAAAATAAAGTTTCAAGTATACGTTGGTAGGCATCTCTTTTACATCAGACATATTAATATGTATTCACAATTTTCAAAGTGTTAATTAGTAGAGACAACTCTTTAAATCCCAAATTTTGATAAATATCTGTTAGATTCTGATGTATATTTGTTAACATATTAATAGACAGGTTTGTGAAGAGTATATATATATATATATATATAAGAAAGAAAAACAGGAAACGGAGTAGACTTTAGAACACTATTTTATTAAAACATGAATATTTCGACCTGAGGTCAGGTCCTCTTCATGTACAAATATTAATAATACATTTAAATGGCTTGTTTTGTTGCTTTAACCTGTATATTGATGGTTTGTATTCTTATTGCTTAAAGTTAAAGAGTAATATTATTTTTGTGTATGTTTCTTTATAAAAAAACATATTTTGTGCATGCCACTATCATCACCTACTTTAGCTATTCATAATATTTTTAAAGTATCTATTTTACTTGTTAATTTAATTAAAACCACATGATGTAGGACATTTCTTAGACCACTGGCCCTTCTACAATAACAAAAAATACTAGGGATATGGTAATGACAATATTAAAAGAAGAAACAGCATTACTTTTAAAAATGTATTATCTCATGAAAAATACAAAAAACAAAAATTATTTTTGAAATTAACTTTCACATTTTGAAGTAACATAAAAATTATCAACTTGAACATAAAAAATTAGTGTTTAAAAAATGTTTACCCATTATTTTACAGCAAAAGATTTACAAAAACACTTCCAGTAACTGGAAGTGTTTTTATTATTTCAGCATTATCTAGTATAAAAATTGGTATACATTTTTTTTTACTTAATCACCGACACTTAATTCTGAATCTTATTGGCTATATTATTGACTGTTTCTCATTGGTTAATTTTCTGTAACACTTTTGGAAAATATGTTTGTAATGTTGGAATCTTTATTCATTCCTGATGATGATCTAATAAAAGATCAAAATACTTGTTTTTACTTTATTTGGAGTATGTTTTATACTAAGTTATCTTAAACTTATCAGTGGACCTACTGGTATTTTTTTTTACAATTAAATAATTTATATGCTCAAGGTAATAATTTGTGTGTTACTGCAAACATGAGGAAGTTAATTTCAAAATTATTTTTTATGATTTTTTTTTTCATTTTCAGGACACAACATGTTTTCAAAACAGATAAGTTCTGAAAAACATGGCCATAAGGCTTAATAAATTACTTATATACTTTATGTGAACTTTCTGCCTCCAGGCACTTCACATCTACAAAGGGAATAAAAATAAGAAGAAAATAACATCTAATATTGAAATCATTATAGACATTGTTAATAACCAGTAATATAATTAGACATCAATATAAAAAATAACAAAAGTTTAATTAAGAACCTTACAGCACAGATCAGATGGGCCTGTCTCTTCATCTACTTCCTTTTGTCTGCTGCATGATGCTATTTCTTATATGAGCCTGCCTACATAATACTAATAACACAATTATAATTCTAGATATAATGGCAACTGTATCTTTGTTTACACAATAAGGAAAACCATATATCATTAGATAATTTTAACCGGATTAGAATAACAAGGACACATTCAATGCTGCTTGAATTGGGATTATGTGCTCAAATATTTAAAAATATTATTATATTATTACTATCAATTGCTATGGAAGATCATTATCATCATGATCAAGATTATAATGAAGATAATGATCATGATCATCATAATCCTCATCATCATTATGATGATTTATCATCATTATCATTGTCATTGTCATCATAATTTGAGAAAAATTTTGTTTTTTACACTATTATAGAATAGAATTTTATATATAAAATTAGATCAATTATAATAATAAAAACAGTTTTAAAATAAAATAGAATGTCTATTAAAATAATAAGCAATGAAATATTGTATTTGTATTACCATTTTAAATTAGTTATTCTATATCTATAGTTCAACAGACTTCAAGCAATGCTTTATAATCAAGCTATTTTTAATTTTTTTTTTTAATTATGTCTACAGAATTTCTCAATGATATGGAAGTAGCCAAGATACCAGATCTTTTCTTTCATTACCATCTGGGTTATTTCCTTCATAAAATACATATTAAACTTTAAAATAAATTTAAATTTAACTACAAGAATATAGCACTTAACTGTAAATAATAGTTAACACAATGTAATTTGAATTAGATTGATGATACATTGTTTAATTTTGTTTCAATATTGGAAAGCAAATATTTATTTACTGGAAGACGAGTGAAAATAAGTCTTAAGCTCCAGTGTATAAATACAGTTGAATGCCAAATACATCAATGGACAAATAACTAAACAATGATGATGACATTCATAATAAAGGGGCCCCTGGGATAGGTTTCAAACTTCACGCTTGACTTGACTCCTCTATTCAACCCAGAATGACATACCGTAGTCTGCGTCAAGAATACAACCTACTGAGCATGCTCAGTCCTGAATGCATCTCTCTGTCTCAGTGCAATAAAAAGAAATTGTGAGGACATTTGAAAGTGCTTTCATGCTACTACAGTTTTATTGAATTCCACCAGCTCTCAGTACACAAATAGGAGCTGACGAGGTTGGCTGTATTAATCAACGTATCGATGCACGGCGTGCTTCTCATATCGTACTCGTTGACCAATGAGATATTAATTGCTATTTGCTCTCAGTACATGACTAGTTGCTAGACAATACGCAAGAAATTCCGCTTGTGTAATTAAATAAGCAAACTTGTGGGGTTTTAAGGAAAGGGTCGATGAGGACAAGACCATCTGTGCTTTTCTATCCTACTCTTATTTTTTTATGTCATTGTGGCTGGAGATGCATAATGCTTAACCTTTACAAGATTCAAAGATTGGATAACTAAAACACGAAAAGGTAAGTTTTGAAATTAATTAATATACAATAATTAACTATTAGATGCATTGATTTAAATTGTAGTTGTGATACAAATTTGTATAACAAACCCTGCAATTTGCTTTGATAGGTTTTTCTCTCTCTTACCATCTCTCTCTGAAAAAGAAAACCAAATTGAGTGGCTACCAGTAAAAATATTCCTTATTGCTTAAACTGGCTAGTTACCTTGTATAGGCTTTATGCATAACACAGTTTTTTCCTCTCTTATAAATACAATACAATTTTAAAATTACAATTTTTCTCTGGTAAGGCACATAATACATTGCCCATATCATAGAGTGATTAGATTGCCCATATCATTAGAACACCTGAACACTTCAAAGTTGCCTGGCCTTACGGCAAGTTGGTGGGATGTGGCTCATAATGATAAATTAGTTCTGTTTAATTTTTTTAGCGTTATTGTGGGGGTTCATTTGGGTAACTACGTTTTGAATTTTTCAAACATTTCTTTAGTCACATATAAACACTACATACGGTACCATTAACTTTTATATTAATTCTTTCCTGTTTTCAATTTATTGCCTAAAACTTAAGTCAAAATTCAACACAACACAATTTCCTTCAATTCTGTATATATTGAGCCAATGACTACATAAAAATAAACCTACACTTGATTAGGTAGAATTTTGCTTTCTGTAGATATTAAGACCTCTGTTAAATACATTTTAAGTACTCTTGGCTGGAGAAGACTCAGTGCCAGTTGGGATGAAAAATTACTTAACATGATTTTCAAATGTTTAAAAGGTTATGCTCCTCAATATCTGACGTCAAATTTTATCTTCAACAATAGTACCCACACTAAAGGAACACATAGCCAAACAAATAACAATCTAGTCATCCCAACTTGGAATAATAGTCAAGGAAAATAGACTTTTCCTTACCGGGCAACAAAAATGTGGAATGAACTTCCTAATGAATTAAAAATTAACTTTCAAAATATGTTGTTACATTCATTCCAAAACAATATTACTACATAAATGTATTTTATTGACTCTTCTCTCGCTTGGTTTTTATTTTGTGTTTTCTTTTTTATATATTTACATTCTTTTTACTTTTTTGTTAAACAATTCTTCATATTGTACTGTATATATTTTTGTTATGTTTAAACTGTACCACTTTGAAAATCAGTGTATCAGTACTGAAAGTGCTTACAGAATAAACAAAGAATAAATAAATTTAAAAATAATATTGCATAAATACCTATCTCCACTACAATTTAAATCTTGATGCAGATATTTTTTGTTAAAGTACATATGAAAACAAAGGATTAAAATTTTTGTTTATTATACTGGTAAAACACATTGACCACTCTACTCATATTCAAGTTATAGCACTGAAAATTCTTTTTCATGCCCCTTTTTATGAAATTAGATATAATTCTTTTTGCAAATTGAAGAGAAACTATAAAAAAAATAACAATAATATACAATTTTAAAACTAAACTCTGATGTAAGACCTTGATAGAAAACAATATTGATGAGACAGTGATGAACCATTTGTGGATAGTTTTTCTTTTCACAAACATCTTCTTTTAAATTTTATTAGAAAAGAAACCAAATTCCAATAATACATGTTAAAATGTCAAAACAAATTACATTTTTGCATGTTTACAGACTATTAATAAAATATCTTTAAAAAGATTGCCAGCCCATTAAAGATATGTTTTCCTCTGAAAATAAAAAAAAAAAACTAATAATTTTGAAATTAACTTGATCATTTTGAAGTAACATACAAATTATTAACTTGGGCAATGAAATTATAGATAAAAAAAAAGTGTACCCCGATTTTTATATTTGATAATGATTTAATAAAAATAATAAAACACTTCCAGTCACTGAAAGTGTTTCTATCACTATAAAAAATTATGGGTAAACAATTTTTTAAATACACTAATTTCTATGTTCAAGATGATCATTTTTATGTTACTTCAAAATTGAGCAATTTAATTTAAAAAAACCACATTACTAAAAGTAAAGCAAATTATATTTAAAAAAAAATTATTTCATAAGTTTGGGAACAATGGATGCAATATTTACTTATACAATCTGCATTTAAAATTTTCTATAAACAAACTAGTTTATTTATATATTTATTACAAATTTGATTTGATACATTAAACATTGACAAGAAGTGTTTCCAAAGAATGAAATGGGCTAAAGATTAACACATGCAGTCATTTCTAAGCTTTGAGTCAAAAACCTGATAAAATATGTATAAAAGCCATACAAAAAAATACATATTCCGATGGTGCTTACCTCAGGAGGTTAAATAGGAATGATGTTTCGCGCTACCTAGCGTGTTATTGCACTTATTGCTCAGCATATTAAGAACATACATCTAAAATATGTTTAAAATGTACTTGTAATAAAATATTTATCATTTCCTAGGCATGTCTACTCATAGACATTTCTTTAAACTGTTTAATTATTCCTTTATTTCTTAATGATCCAATTCATTTTCTTTTTGACTATATTTCATCATGGTGTCCTGTTGAGTCAACACTTCTGACATGAATTCATTTATTCTCATTTCACTTTACAAATGTTGATGATAATTAATGACCAATAGATAGCTGTGTTTACCTCAGGGGGAAAATATCAGAACCCACTAACCTCTAGCAAAAACCAGGTGTCATCTCTCTTCATTAATACCCAAATTGGTTCTATTTATTAATATAAATCCACAAAATCCTCTTTCATTTATCAGATTCATAAATAGTATTTATTGCTCTACTTTCATATACTTATGAATGGTTGCTTCGCATACGCTGGTTCGGGATCTATCAGTTTGCACCAAACGTAATACTGTATGAAATAAAATATTAAATTGGCTGGTAAATTAACAAAATTTCCAATCATTAAGTCTCCTACTCTTTACTGCTATAGTTCTCAGGAATTAGCTTAAGCAGTGAGCAGGAAGAAGATGCTCTTATCAAAATGAAAATACTGTATTACACTTAAAATTTACCATTTATTATTATTATTATTATTATTACAATCATCATTATCATTATCACGCTATCAATAATTGTTAATATTATCATAATTATTTATTATAGCAATAATACAATGACCCCTAACTGGGCCAATGGAGCCCCTAGGGCAACCAAATCCATATCTCTAAAGAGATACAGGTTAACAAGCCTTGACTCGTTGGAAATGAATTTCCAGTTTGCATTTTAGCACCTTAGGACACATAAGAAGGAGTTGTATATGAATAAGTAATGAATGAATGATATGTATGAATGATGAGAAACTCACCAAAATTCCACAGAAACATCACTTATCTACAGTCAGTGAATAATTACACATAGATATGACAACACCTCAATATGATATATCATATCTAAAGATATTAATTTTTCAAGTAGTTAGTTCTATATAATACAGGCAATACAATGTCAGTCCCAAAGTAGTCTGTTACAAAGTAGATCAAAAATTTACAAAAGAGGCCCCCAGGATAGTGTTGATTGCAACTTCACTGATGTGTATAATATAGAAATAAACTGTTTCTTAAATGATAATAATAATAATAATAATAATAATAATAATAATAATTTGGAGTTACACTTTTATAGCACTGACATACTTTGTAAAACAAAGGTGAGTCCGGAACACAAAACTTCACTACAAATGATTACAAGACACATCAAATTAAATAAGAACAACCAAAACTTCAATCCAACCACAAAGAACTTCAATTAATCTTTTCTTTCCTCCTCTTCCTTCCCTGAAGAATTAAAACGTTATCCCTCCCCACTAAATAAAGCTGTATTAAACTTTACCCTTTATTCTCTAAAAAAAATACAAAATACTTTGTACCCTTCTTCCATCTTCTCACCCTAAACAATGCATACATTAAATTAAAAAAGTGAGCTTAAATTCTGTCCACACCATATATGGATATGATGATGTCATACCATATCCTTATATGGGTCTAATGTTGTATCGCATCTTTATATGGGCATGACGATGATCATATCACATCCATATACGGGCAAATCACAGGTACTTGTCACATAATTATAAGTAAGGGAATAAATATATTTTTTAAACTAATAATAAAAAAATAATCATTTAAATAAAGGCATCATTGGTTTTTGTTCAAAATTTTCAGAGGTTATTAACTGTAACTAATTAAAATGTGTTCAATTTTGTCTGGGAGTCTGTTTTATGCTTTAGTTGCAGGCTGTAGCCAGGGGGGGTTTTGTAGTTCGGGCGAACCCTCCTTTTCTAGCGAACCCCCTCAAATTTTTGAATGAGTCCCACTCGGACGGAATTTCTGTTTTTAACTTACCCAGCATTAAATAAAAATTTAGCACCTAATTCATCATTTGGTCACCTGTTTTTAAATTGTAGCCTGCAATACAAGCCTACATTCATAGAATATCTCAGCTTCAAAAGTTCAGAGATTTATATTGAATGCAACTCCGGCAAACCATGACTTTGAGATAGCTCACATAAGGATGGCAAACAAACATCGATAAAAACTTTCACTGGCCTTTGGCTGAATTTTTGTAAGAAATGTACCAACCGGTATTGAAACCGGTCACCATCTACCTAGAGTAAATGGTGCCACCAAACGAAGATAAAGTTTTGCGACTTAATCCACCAAATGCAGCTAAAGTTTTGCGACTTACTGATTGTGGATTGTGTGGTTAGTAAATTTATAGCCATACTGTCCATAGCGCACACTAAACTATTTGCTGATGGAGTATTTTTGGGAAATTTACTCTCCTTTTTTCCATCCCAAACAACATATTATTAATAAATCAACATGGTCCATCTCAATCAACATAGCGAGTCACAAAATTAGGAAGTTTGTTTTCGACAGCAGACACACAAAACAGAACGGAGTGCGTCAAAATCTAAAAAATATGTACTGGCATTTTGTAATACACATTCCCTTGTTGTACAGTATGACATGTTTCATTAACATAACATACACTGAGGATCTCCAAC